CACGGCGACAACCTCCGGGCAGGGGCCCTGCTTCAGGCCGTCCTACTGCCCGACGCCTGGGCTCCTGAGTCACGGCGGAGTCTTGGCGGTGCTTTGGCCGCGTGTCCCTCGCCTCCAAAACTGCTGGATCAACTCTTACGAAACGCCTTTTGTTTCCGGCCTTTTCGGGTTTAGCTTTGGAGACGCTCGGGGGACGTGTGTCTGATCAGACCCACAGCGCTTGCCCCAGGCTGCTGTCCCTGCGAGCAAACCAAAGATGGAACACGTTCAACATTTGGGGCTCCGCCGGGCGCTCCGGGGACGAGGCCCGCACGCGGTGGCATTCACAACACCCTCGGCAGTAAAGACCGGGGACTTGAGCCGCCCATCGACAGGGGGCTTGTTAAAGAAGCGTGGGGTCTCTACGACTGTGAACTGTGAACGTAAGAGCAAGGAAGCGAAAGGCTCTCCAAGGGTTAATATTCAACGAGGAAACAAACAGCAAGAATCAAGGTGCGAGCCTGTTGGTATCGGACGCCATCGTTTGCGCACGAAACGGGGGGAAGGAAACTGATATTGTGGTTTATGATAAGAGAGTTGTATTTGGTCTTCGTCCCTGTTCCTCGCGCGGGGCCCCCGGAACCCTCGTGAGCCCCCCAAGTGACAGAACACCGCGTGCCTCTTTCGTTCCACTGAGGCGACTCTGGCTGGGCTCCTGGACGGGGACTGGTCAGTGGAAGGGCTGGAAGCTCGGACCCCCGTCCTCCGGAGAGGGGAGAGGGGCCAGAGAAGGTTCATAGCCGGCCATGCCCACACGGGGAAGCCCCCGTAAAACCACGGCAGTCGGGGCTGGGGAGCCTCCGGGCTGGTGATCGTGTCCCCCCGGGGAGAGTGACGCCCCCCGAGTCCGCGGGGACAGGGGCTTCCGTGCTGGGGACCCTCCCAGACCTCGCGCCGTGCGTGGCCTTCGTCCACGACCCTTAATAAGCTGGCAAACAGAAGCAAGGGCCTCCCTGAGTTCTGCGAGCCTTCTAAGCAACTCATCAAGTCCAAGGGGAAAGAGGTGGTGAGAACGTCTGATCTGTAGCCAAGTCGGACGAGAGCTGCGCGTAACCGGGGGACCTAGTCCTTCCCACCGGCATCTGAAGTGGGGCAGATTCGTGGGACCGAGCCCTCAACCTGCGCGACCTGGCACGATCTCTGGGCGGACAGGGTCAGAATTGGGTTAAATCGAAGGACTCCCGGCTGGTGTCATGGAGTTGGTTGCCGTGGGAAAAACCCCACAGGCTGGGCATCAGCAGCGCTGCGAGCGTGACAGTCACGTGAGAGCAGTCACGTGAGAGGAAAGACGACTCTTTTCCTAAAGCAAAAACATACACACGTTTCCTTGTAAACGCATAAATATCCCGGGAAGGATACACCAGGAGCTGGTGATGCCGGCCGGCCCTAAAAGAAACTAGGCAGCTGGGGGGGCCGCCGTGGACGGGAGGCCTCCCACGAAATACCCTCCTGTGTCTTTCGGATTTTGAACCACAGACATGTACTACCTTCGCAAAAATAATTAAATGTTTAAAGAAAGCTGAGCACAGAACAGTAGGAACAAGACAGATAGTCCTGTAACAGAGTCACTGCGTTCGGTCATTTCCAGAAAAGAGAGTGGAAATCCAATTTCTGCTTTGGTGAAGCCATTACATAACCGACATGTGCAGGATTCCCTTGAAATTCCGGTTCCTAATAATTATTTGTTGTTGTCGTTGGGTGCAGCCCCAGAAGCGTCCCCGCCATAACAATGATAGAAATTTTGTGGTTTTCCTGAACATGTAATTAGTAATTACATGCCTGCAGTTCAGAAAACTTTTTACCTTATTTACACACGTGTTTAACAAATCCCTTTTGCACTCCGCCTTTTTGCACTCCGCTAGCTGCATAGCACCGTTCTAGATGCTTCAGGATGGGCAGCATGCGGCCAGCCTCTGCCGTCAGACCTGAGTTCAAACCCAGTTCAGGCTCTAATCACCAGGGAAATGCAAATCAAAACCACCATGAGATGTCACCTCGTACCTGGCAGTGTGGCTAAATTAAAACGATGAGGTGGGGCGCCCGGGGGGGCTCAGTCGGTTGAGCATCCCACTCTTGATTTCGGCTCAGGTCACGATGTCACATCCTTGGGATCGAGCCTCAGGTTGGGCTCCGTACTGAGCACACAGACTACTTTAATTCTCTCTCTCTCTCAAAGTAAATAAATAAACATTTTTAAAAAGACGAGAAACAGGGGCGCCTGGGTGGCTCAGTCACTTAAGTGTCTGACTTCAGCTCAGGTCATGATCTCACGGTTTGTGGGTTCAAGCCCCGCGTCGGGCTCTGTGCTGCCAGCTCGGAGCCGGATTCAGATCCTCTGTCCCCCTCCCCATCTCACACAGGTCCTCTCTCTCTCTCTCTCTCTCTCAAAAATAAATAAGCATGAAAAAAAAAAAAAAAAGACGAGGGCCGCCTGGGTGGCTCAGTCAGTTGAGCGTCCGATTTCAGCTCAGGTCACGATCTCGCGGTCCGTGAGTTCGAGCCCCGCGTGGGGCTCCGGGCTGACAGCTCGGAGCCTGGAGCCTCGTTCGGGTTCTGTGTCTTGTTTGTGACAGCACGGATGGATCTAGAAGGTATTATGCGAAGTGGAATAAGACAGAGACAGACAAACCCCATGGGATATCACACGTAAGTGGAATAAAAGGAAACAAATAATCAGTGAACAGAAAGCAGAATGGGGCCTGTAAACACGGAGAACAAACCGAGGCTGCCAGAGGAGAGAGGGTGGAGGGGGTAGGCAGAATGGATGAGGGGGCGTGGGAGGCACGGGCTTCCAGTCAGGGAATGAACAAGCCGCGGAAATAAAAGGCATAGCATAGGGAATACAGTCCATGATACCGTCATAGCCTTGGATGGTGACCGGTCGGAGCTACCCTGGTGAACACAGCATCACACGAGAGAGGTGAGTCACTGTGTTGTGCACCCGGAACGAACGTACCATTGCGTGTCCGCTAAACTCAGACAAGGACAAAAACCAAAATCCAGTTCACACTGATACTGGTTGGGCGATCTGGGATACCTGTTTCTTTGCACCTCGGTTTCCTCATCTGTGAGCGAAGGACACGATAGTATCTACCTCATCGGGCACGATGTGCGTTAAACGGAATGTATGCAAAGAGCTGTCACATAGGAGATGATCAGTAAATACTTTGTGTCAGGTGCTCGGTGTGTGGACGCGCTCAGAGGAACATCACTTACAAGGCAGCGTATGGTATGAAACAAGTGATACAAACAGCACATATGGGGGGGGCAGAAACTTGTACCCAGCCGTCCATATCAGCACCTGCCTGAAACCCTTCTTTACTGGTGCTTGTCGGACCAGCTCCATCAGAATCACCAGCGCGGGGCTGGGTGCGTGAATACAGCGGGCATTTATTTCCTGTTAGAACAATAATGCAGACTTACGACCGATCAGCATTAAGAGGTACAAATTTCCAGTTATAAGTGTAAAATAAAAGCGGGGGAAAGCTTGTAGCTGGCTCATTTGGAAGAGCGTGTGACTCTTGATCTTGGGGTCATGAGTTCGAGCCCCACATTGGGTGTACAGATTACTCCAAAAAATAAACTTGAAAAAACTGTAATTTAAGAAACAATAGCATAAAAAAGATATGCGATGAGGGGCGCTTGGGTGGCTCAGTCGGTTGAGCATCCGACTTCAGCTCAGGTCATGATCTCACAGTTTGTGAGTTCGAGCCCCGCGTCGGGCTCTGTGCCGACAGCTCAGAGCCTGGAGCCTGCTTCAGATTCTGTCTCTCTCTGTCTCTCTCTCCTTCGGAAATAAATAAACATTAAAAAAAAAAAAAGATATGCGATGAGAGGCAAACTCCCCCACTGCCGCCCCCTTCCCTATCCCCCCCCGCAGAACGTTCATTTTTCCCAAAGACATGCGCCATTTTTTCCCAAACTTTTTTCTCTGTGTTCTTTTTTCCATTTCCATGCTGCTGTGAGCCCATCCCATGATTTTTACATTTCCAATATTTCATTTTTAGTACTAGGATTCCGCCACTTGGTGATTTTTTAAAGTTTCCATTTCTCTGACGGAATTTCCTATTTTTCATTCGTTAGGATTCGGTGCCCGCCCCTTGGAAAGATATCTTCCGCGTTTGCTTAATTCTCAGATGGATCCCCTGTTTATCTAGAGAATGAAGATTTAGGCCCAGCGACCTTCACAGGAAGAAAGTCATTCTAATCTCTTAAAATCCTTTCGTCCATCTTGCAAGGAATTTTGAATTTCAGGGAAACTATAGCATGCATCTAAGATAAGTGAAAACAGTGTATATTCTGCCAAGTTATTTGGTAAGAATACACCAAACACACTGACTGTTGCATATTATTTTGTTAGACGTTGTAAAGTTCTCTCCCGGCGCCTCATTAAGGAAGGTGTGGAGCTGGCCAGGCGGGCCTCGCAGGAGCCCCAGGGGCGGGCAGAGGCCTTGTGAGGACAGGAACACGACTCTGCCATTTGCCCTGGGGTTGCTGGACCAGGGCTGGCCCCTGAGTCCAGCAGTAAAGAGGACACAGGTCTCTCCTCCCGCTCCCTGCACGGGGGAGAAGGAGGCAGACTTCTGCAAATTAATTGCTTTTGAACTTATTCCATCTTACATTAGTCGTGGGAAACTATACGACACATAATCAGTGTGTACTCTATTCCCTGAAAATCGCTTTAAAGTTTGGGTAAGACTGAGAAGAGCCCCTGGAACAAAATATCCACTCAGCAACCTTCCTATTTAAAGACACGAGTTCTCGGGGCGCCTAGGGGGGCTCAGTCGGTTGAGCGTCCGACTTCGGCTCAGGTCATGATCTCGCAGTTCGTGGGTTCGAATCCCGCGTCGGGCTCTGTGCTGACAGCTCGGAGCCTGGAGCCTGCTTCGGATTCTGTGACTCTTTCTCTCTCTGCCTCTCCCCTGCTTGTGGTCTGTCTGTCTCTCAAAAATAAATAAACATTAAAGTTAAAAAAAATTATATATATGTGTATATATATATATATATTTAAAAACACATGAGTTCCAAAAAATTAAAAAATATATGATTACACAGGATGGTATTTCCTAATGAAAATACCAGAATTCTCCAAGGAAAGTAAAGTGTGAGGGCTTGGATTCGCATGTATTTTGTATTTAGCAGATTTAATAAAGAACAGGTCCCTAAGCGGCAGAGTATATCCAGACACGGCGGTTGTCTCTGTTCTTTACGATGAGATTATCGATCGCATGGGGACCCGGGACCCAGGAGAGGAAAAGCGTAGTGACGCAGGCACCAGCCAGGCCTCCCACAGAAGTCTGAGCAGCCTGGCCCCATCCCGTGAGCTGTAAGAGATCCTTTTAAATTAGCATTGCATAGTAAAAATTACGCTAATTATTCCTTCTTAATTGTGTTAAATGTCAACTGTGGAATTATTAATTGCATAAGTAATGACTATCTCTTCATGTTCTATTTCAAAGTACAGTTCAGGAAGCCACAGGCACGTTCGCTGTTGGGAAATACCCCTCTGCTTGCGTGGACGTGGGCCAGGCAAAGTCTGCGTGGGCCAAACCCTGGAAATTGTAAATATATTTACTCCTTGACGACCGTGTCTGGCCTCGGGCTCCTGGTAGTTCTAACGGGGGTGTTTCTGGAATGCGGGCGGCCCTCAGGCCTCGGCATCAGGACCACCCACCCCTTCACCGGGGAGGCCTGTGGGTTCCCAGCCCCACCACAGGACCTGCCGAATAAAAACTCGAGTTGCAGAAACCTGGACCTTCGGGGTCCCTGCTGTGTCCGACCGGTGGTCTTCCCCCGGGGAAGGAAACAGGACACAGGAAACAGAACATAAGCCTCAAATTGTCTTTGCACTTGGACCAGTTCCCTCTGTTGATCTGACACAAGAATGGCTTTTTGTACGGCAACGGTGAGTGTGTTGAAAAGATCCCTTGTGTTTTAGGAGAAGAAGTTTCGTGCCTCGATGCTCACCATCACCACTGGCACTGGTAGCTCTGAGGATAAACCGGCTTGGATTTCACCCTCGAGGATTAACATTTCACAGAGCACATAAAGCCACTTGAAAGTCAAGATGAGGTGACGCCAAGCGTGCACTGCGCTCTTTGTGTGGTTGGTTTCTTGTCTTTGGCCATTCGTCGGGCACCGCGGCTGAGGCTGCTGAGTTGGATAAAGCAGTGACATTCAGGAGTTGAACCAACTGCAAGATATGCCCCTGGAGGGTGGAGCAAAGCCTGCTGACCCACCTCCCGCCCTTTGCACAATTAGGTCCACACCCGGGATCGTAGGAGAGGGAAAATTGATCTTCTATCCTCTTAATATCAGTCGCTGGGTCCTGCAAATTAAATAGGCAACGACAGGTTAGCAGGAGAAAAGACATACCATTTTCATTGATGTTAATATTTCACACGATGGGGGCTTCACCAAAGAGAAGCAAAAACTCAAAGAAGTGGCTAGACTTGGGCACTTAATGCCATTTTTGGAAAGGGCAGTAAATTGTGGGAAAGTGAGCAAAAGATCTGGGGGAACTAACGGAAGATAAGGACTATTTTAGGAAGGTCTGTTCGTGCAGATTCACCTTGATGTGACCCTCAATCTCGTGATAACAATCTCCTTCTCCCGGTGGAGGGGACCTCTCTCAAAGGAAAATCAATGCGTTTAGGCAGATAAGAGGAGGGCAACACACTGTTCCTGACCTGCTGATTCTCAGTTACCTTCAGCTCAAAATAACCCTTGTGCCGAAGTGGCCTATGTCAGGGGGGCGTTTCCTGACCCCCTTCGACACGGCCAGCTCGCCCAGCCGGGGAGAAGGCGGTCAGGGCTGGCACAGGAAGTGACTGCAGGCAGCGTCTTTGAGGTCTCACTGCAGCTCCCGTGCAGGACAATTGTCCCATGCTCTGGAGAGGCCTGTCTTCTGCACTGTGCCAGTGTGTAGAGCCACCAGGCAGAATCTTAGGTGGTGAAGGCAGACCCCACAGTTCCAAGGATTGAAAATGAAATAATGGGTGATTTTTAGAAGCGTTTTGCGAAACGTGTGGATACGCTGTATCTTGAGATAGGCCTTATGTTCTGAATAATAACTCAGCGAGTTATTATTATAATAACAATCCAGGCGAGGCCCTAAGCGCAAGGACACCGTTGTTCCACGAGAGGGCGCCGTGGGCGGTCTGTCACCCGCCTCCGAGCTCACAGGCTGGCGGGAAGGAGGCGGGGAGCTGGCAGCTCCTGGAAGGATTGGGGGGGGGGGGGGGCACACAGCCCTCCGTGACACAGACAAGATCGACAAGATCAAAGCCCACGGTTGCCACAGGGGCGTGCGCACGGCAGAGGACCGGTCAAGTGGTTTCAAGGCGGAACGACACTTTTTTCAATGCAGTCCGCCGTCTTGAACAAAAGGGCTGTCCCCCGGTTGCTATGTTGCCGTTGCTAGGAGGTCCCGGGAGACCAAACACTCAGCGAGATCGCATTTCCTCTGCCTCAGCCCTTTGCGAAGCCTCACCCGCCAGGCGTCCTGGGCGCCGGAGAAACCAGCGTGCAGGGTTTCCAGCGGGGAGGATGATCCAGGGGGCGGCTGGCGCCCTGTGAACCGGGTGAACCGCCAGCCTGCCTGGGCGCGGCCCCCTCCCCAGCCCCGGAGGCCGGAGCTCAGCATGGGACAGACGGGAGGCCCCGCGGAGCTGCCCCTGGGGACTGCGTGCCTGCCCCGGAGGACGCGGGCCTCGCGCAGGGCCGGGGTTCCAGCCTGGGCCGCTCGGGTCTAGGTCCTGAATTGAAGGCTATTTCCAGGCAATCAGTGACAGAGACAGAACTGGAACCCGGGTGTCTCTGTGGCAAACGGAACAGGGACTTCGGTGTTGAAAAAGAAGCATCCGGGCAGGAGTGGGTGGAACACTTTAGAAGGGGGGCGAGGGGGCGCAGAACGGCCGTTCGCAGAGGGACTGGTTCGTGCGGGGAGGGGGAAAACTCCAGGCTGAGCTGGGCGCCCCACGTGTCATTGCTGTGCGCCTGGCCAGGGGGTCGGAGACCAGAGGGAACGCCCTTCTCCCCTCCGGGTGGGCGCACTTCCCAGAAGGCCCCGGAAGCCTGCCTCTTGCTTCAGGGCAGTTAGACTGCACCCCCAGCGCCTCTAGTCAAGGACACCCCAAAATTATACTAGTGTGTGTGAGCCCCGCCCTCCAGCATTCTCATGACACACGTGGCTCCAAGAAGCACCACATGTCCTCACCCCCCCAGCTTCCTAGATCCTGGAGGGGGGGGCTCCCCCTTTCCCCCCCCCCCCCCCCCGACTTCCCAGACCCTCAGCGGGGGCACCACCTGTTCCCATCCCCTACTTCCTAGACCCCGCAGGGTGGGTGCCAGGCGCGTGTAGGGGTGGGAGGTGCGGGCCCCCCGGGGAAGGACGCGCCCTGAGTGAGGGTCCACGTCCTGCACGCGGACTGTGTGTCCCAGTTCCCTCCCTTCTCATTGAGCAACACAAATTCTGGAAATTAAAGGCAACCCAGGTGTGAGCAAACGTGGCCGGCTGCCCACTCCGCCTGCAAAGCGTCACCAGGACGCGGTGAAGAAGTGAACACGCGTGTGCACACCTGGAGGGAACGATGGCTGAAGGCACGGTGTGGGCGAGTGAGTCCCGCGGGTGCCTGGAGGACGCAGAGGCCTGAGGACCGGCCTGTGGAGCCCGAGGTCCGGAGAAGGGAGGCCAGGATCCGCAGGAGGCGGGAACGTTCGAGGAGGCCTGGCCCTAAAATCGGGATAAAGGCTGTGTCTACCTCCTCCTGCCTCCAGCAGCCTTGCCGGCCCCCCATGGCCCCGGGGCAGAGGGTCCCAGCTCTGAGGTCACCTGTGCAGGCCCTCCCCCCACAGACAAGCCCCCGGCCTCCCTCACCTGCCCAGGAGGTCGGGCTCAGACGAGAGTGCACGGCCGAGAGCACCAGGGGTCAGCTTGAAGATAGAGACCCCCCCACCCACGGCCAGCAGAGAGGACCCGGAGGAGAGACACGTGCAGGGACAGGAAAAGAACGTGGACGCCAAGATCCCTTGAAGAATTCGGTCAGAGAAGTACCGATGTTAGGCCCTCTCAAGAAGAAATAAATGTTTAAAAAAAAATTGTAAGATCTGCAGGGAGAAACCCGCTCTGAAGACCAGAGTGGCAGCCGGTGTCTCAATAGTCACCGCACAGCGAGGGGAGCGGTCCCCACTGCGAGTGAGAGAGCCCCCGCCGCCATCGTGTGTGAGAGCGAGCTACGGACCGAGCGCTCCGACTCGCTCGGACCAGGTGACCAGGGAGGCAGGGGAGCGGAATGCACGTCTCACACGCGCTCTGGCTGTGTGCCCACCGGGTGAGCAAGTGCACGGAGCGCAGGGCTGTGGGAGGGGACTCACGGGCTCCACACAGCCGGGCACCGACAGGAAATGCCAGGGTGACCGCTGTTGGAGACAGACCACCCAAAGGACGGGAGAAAACGACATGCCTGTGGCATGGAAACCAGCACCAGAAACACTGAAGCACTTGGGAAATTAGCGAATGGTGCGTGGAGCACTGGGCAAGTAGAACGTCAGCCGTAATTATTGGTTCCAGGAAATAGATGACGAGCATGTCTTGTGCAAAGGGCCTGAGGTACATTGTGTTCTAGGAGGAGGGGGCGGGACAGAAGGGGGGGCAGGGGATGATGTCACAGGGTAGGAGGGGCCAGGACAGGCTTCCACTCTGAGGGACAGGGACTCAGCTGCTGCAAGGAGTGGGGGGGTTGCCCTGACTCACCTGTCGGCAGGAAATTTCACGTGCTGTGTCGAGAATAAGCCAGGGAAGGAGGGAGCAAGACACTGGTACAGGTAGGAGGCCACTGCCGTGCTCCGGGGCAGGACACGATGGGGCTCGGACCAGCTGTCGGCCCTGCAGGCCCTGTGAGGTGGCTGGGTTTGGGGTGGACTTGAAGGACGAGCCCAAGTATTCTGTGACATACTAGTGGTGACGTGTGCAGAAAGATGGGGTCAAAAATGTTTCCCAGGCTTCGGTCTGGAAGGATAAAGTTGCCCTCAGTGAGGCGACCAGATCAACGTTCCCATTACCGACTGCGGAACCAGCCCAGACGTAGAGCACAAAACAACAATCACATTATTATTATTATTATTAACGCGCGTGGTTCCAGCAGTTGACTGGGCTCGGCCACGTGTGTCTCACTTGGTGGTTGGGGCCGGGGCCCCTCGAAGATCCCAGGAGCTGGGGCTGGACAGCAGGGGTCTGGACATCCCTCCCTCCCTGCCCCAGTATCTGCCCACGATCTCCTGAGCGTGGTGCCTTCAAGAGTGGCCAGACTCCTTACGTGGTGGCCCCGGGCTGCACAGACGCGCTGAGAAGCCACGTGGCCTTTATGCCCCAGCGCCAGCAGCAACACAGCACGGCCTCCGCGTCTGTTCCCTGGAATCCAGTCACCGTATTCAGTAGGGCAGGGATCAGTTTCCCTTCTTGATGGACGTGGACTCACAGAACTTGTGAACGCTTCCGAAGTCACCATGGCAGGTCTGGGGAAGAAGAGAAGAATTCAGCCGGGGAATGTTTTGAGTCGGACTCACAGAGACTCTCACGGTGACTTAAACCCACGCTCGAGAGGTGACCACACGGGGGGGGGGACGTGTGGGGGCCACAGAGTGGGACAGCCCGGCCCCCACCCCCACCGTGGGAAATCCGTGGATGCATCCAAAGGGAACATCGAGAAAGAAAGGTAAAACAAAGCCAACTAGAGATACGGGCAAATGCAAAGGGAATCCACGGAAAAGGGACCGTGAGGAGGCCTCCTGGCAGGGGTGGGGGTGGGGGGGGGGGGTTGGTGAAGGCATCTTTCCCACCATTTACTCTCTGCACAAGTATTACTTTGCTAACAGAATTAGCACCCTCTTAAGAGGGTTTTGATTTTGTCTCAATAAAACTGATTAAAATTTTTTTTCAATGTTTTTATTTATTTTTGAGACAGAGAGAGACAGAGCATGAGCAGGGGAGGGGCAGGGAGAGAGGGAGACACAGAATCCAAAGCAGCTCCAGGCTCCGAGCTGTCGGCACAGAGCCCGACGCGGGGCTCGAACCCACAGACTGTGTGATCATGACCTGAGCTGAAGTCGGGACTGAGCCACCCAGGCGCCCCTCGGTAAAACTGATTTTAAAAGGGTTTAGGATAGAACACCCATATGGCACGGGCCCCCTCGTCTGTGTGCCTCCTCATGCCTGGGCCCGCAAGGACCCCAGCGTCCGGCCTCCCCCAGCCCCCCGCCCCCAGGCTCGCAGGGCGGGCCCCACCCACTCGGGAGAGGGGACGGTGCAGACTGGAAGCCCCGTCTGCCGGCTGGGGGCTTGGTGGCCTCTGCACTGGGAACACGAGGTCACCCTCCCGCGGGTTACGGGCGGGAGGGGTGGGTGGGGAGAGAGGAAGGGCCATGTTCTTGGAAGGGAAGTGCATCCTCTAAATTAAGTGCATTATTTTTCCTGAATAAAAACACACCTGTCGTGAAACCGGCCGGTCCAAAGACACTTGATGCAGCAGCTGTGGTGGCCCCTGGCTGAAAATACCCATTTCCCCTGAGTCACCCTGCTCCGGGCGGGTGAGCCGTGGATAAAGTAACAAAGAAACACACAGATCTCCTCTGAAATAGAACTCCTCGGCCCAGAGGGAAACCGCCTGGAGCCCACCCCTCCCGGGGGCAGAGGAAACACCAGCGTGAGGCCGCTGCGAACCGTTTAACCCTCCACACACCATGAGCCCACGAACCCCCCCGAACCAGCTCCGTTATTACAGCGACCGGGTGGCCTGGCGAGCGGTGTCCCCGCAGTTCCCCAACGTGCGAGCGTGGCCGTGACGGTAGCACAAGGTCAACAGGTGGGCAGACCAGGTCAAAGGGCCACTGAGCGCCCGCTGCGGCCAGCTGGGCCCGACACAGCGCCCTCGGCCCCTGGGGAGCCCACGTGGACGCACCGAGTGGCTCCAGAGCCTTCGCCGTGACTCCGCACGCGCAGGGTGGTTGATCCACGTGGCCCCGCCACGCCGGCACAGGCCCGACTGTTCACTCTGCTGGGCTCTTTGGCCTCGGGGAGCACGGCCCCCAGACCGTCGTGTGGGTGCAGGGGCGGCGGGGGTCCCGTGTTCTGAGTGCAGCAGCCCCAGAGGGCGGGGTCCCCTGGGCTCTCACCAAAGGTGATTTTTTTTTTTTTTTCCAGTCTGGGGATAATGGCCAGGAGATGGTGGTCGCCCCGTGACGCTAGTAACTGTCCCTCTTCCGAGGCCGTGACGCTGCACCCTGGGCACGGAAACGTGAACCAGCGGGGCCCCAGTCAAGTTACCTTCGGCCTCACGTATGAACATCTGCTGAGTAAAGCAGACACCCACGGGAGCACAGCTGTGACCCCGGGGCCACCTTCCCCGGCGTCCGGGAGCCCCCCGGAGCGGAGCTGAAGCCCTCCCGAACAAGAACGTCCCGCTGGAGAGAAAGGCAATGGCACCCGATTAATTCTGAAAGGAAGCACTCGGCCTTCAGAAACTTGGGCCGGGTCCACAGGCCTGAACAAGGGCTCCATTCAGCCAGCTCCTCCCGTGTTCACCCGGCACTGAGTTCACAGCCTGGCCACCCCTCCGAGACACTCCTGGAGCCCCCGCTATGTGTCAAGCACGTGTCAGGCCACGGGGACCCCCGAGGAAACCAGGCACCTCTGTCCTCCCGAGCTCACGGCCTAGTGATCGAATGAGGCGGTCGGTGACGGGCAGACCCAGCTCGTGACGTTCTGGGAGCCGAGGAGCAGAGGGCGTCGGTGAGGTTCTCCCCGGGTGTAGACTGAGCTCTGGGCACCAGGTAGGAGGAGTCGGGTGAACGGGGACAGCAGGGCAAAGGGAGAACTGTGGCTGGACTCGAGGCGGGTGAGATGGCCTTCGATGCCCCGTGAAGGAATTGCTTGTCCCAAGGACGTGAGAATGCACTCAGTGGAGGTGACATGATGACACATATTGGAGAGGCTCTTCCTGGGGGCGGTGCAGACAACGGGGGCCGAGGGGGGGAGGTCTGGAAGCCAGTTAGGAGGTCATTACAATCCGAGTGAGAAGTGATACAAACCAGACACGGTTCCGGGGCCGAGGGGACGGAGAAACCAGCACAAAGAGATACAGAAGTCCTCCTCGTATATAAAGAGCTCTTAAAAATCAAGAGGAATAAAAGAAAGATGGACAGGAGAGGTGAACAGAGGGAGGTCACAGGAGAAGACACAGGAGTGGTTCACATGTATATAAAAACGCTCACACGACAAGTAAAAACAGACACAACGCTGACAGCCCCTGTCGCCCGGGGAATGGCGGAAGTCCACGAGGCTGAGCACGCTCCCTTGCGGGGGGGGAGACAGGTGTCCTCACACCTTGGCGGTGGGAGTGCAGGTGGCACCACCGGGTGCAGCGAGATTTGACCGTTTCCGCAGAGACCCGCGCGGCGTTTCCAGCCAGCAATCTCGTGCCTGGGCTTTCACCCCGAGGACTCGTCCCCACGAGTGTGAACAGCACACGCACCGAGCCGAGAGCTCCCCAGCAGAGTCCCTGGTGCCGGCGGCCGGGCGCCCCCGAGTAAAGCTCAGCGCGCACAGGCTGGAGGGCCCCGCGGCTGTGCTGTCCGGGGGCGGGGACATCTGCCCTTGTTTCTTTTTTTTAAAGATTTTTTATTTTGAGAGAGAGAGAGAGAGAGAGAGAGAGAGAGAGAGAGAGAGAGAGACCCAAGCAGGCTCCACGCCGCCAACATCAGAGCCCGACGCGGGGCTCGATTCCGTGAACCGTGAGATCACGACCTGAGCTGAAATCAAGAGTCGGAGCCCCAAACTTCACTTGTGAACAAAAATGAAAAGCAAAGTCCACAGAGAGTATGTGCCACGCTTTCTGCTGTGTAAGACAGGACGGGAAATAGAGGCACGGTTTGCATTTGCTTCCTGCCGCGGGAGGGGAAGGACGGACGGACGGACGGACCGGCGACAAGCACAGCAGGGCTGGGTGGAGGACGAGGAAATAAACCTCGTTTGGTCGTGATTCTGAATTAGCCAAAGAACTTCAGATCCACGGAAATGAAATAAAATGACGGAGACAAACCCTCGACTGAACACAGGTGGAAACAAGTGACGGCAACGTGCGTCCAATCCGTAACTTTGAACCTGTTCTCTGTGCTGCCCAGAGGCCTCCGGGACCTCACTTAGTGGCCTGTTACTGGCAGTGGCATTGGCGTAAAACCACGGCAGTGTTGTCTGTGTCTTGAGGAAGAAATGTGCGGACATATGGACATCGTGGGGAATCAGAAGGGTCAGAGAAAAGGAAATGGAAGAAAAGAGGCCAGTCGGCTGAGTCGTGCGGTGCGGGATTTAAACGGGAGGCACTGTGGCCTCTGCGGGCATCTCTGCACAAAACGTCCTTCCCGTGACCACCGCGGGACGCCCACGTCCTGCATTGAACACAGCCAGCTTCCGAATCTTGATAGATAAATCTGAGTCCCCTCTAAAAGAGGCCGGATTTCTCAAGGAAACGACTGATTCCAAGTTTAAGTCAAAAGTCAGCTGGGAGCACCTTGTGCCCAAAGCAGGAGGTGCCCGGAGATGCCTGGGGACGCATCAAAGGGACCCCAGAGCTGACTCCTTCCAGCGGGCAGGCCGGCCTTGGACCATTGTGGTTACAACCCACCAAACGAAACAAAAACAAACAATAAAAGAACTCATGAGTTTGAGTGGAGTTTAAAAATCACCAGTCTGGGGCGCCTGGGTGGCTCAGTCGGTTGGGCGGCCGACTTCGGCTCAGGTCGTGATCTCGCGGTCCGTGAGTTCGAGCCCTGCGTCGGGCTCTGTGCTGACAGCTCAGAGCCTGCAGCCTGTTTCAGCGTCTGTGTCTCCCTCTCTCTGACCCTCCCCCGTTCATGCTCTGTCTCTCTCTGTCTCAAAAATGAATAAACATTAAAAAATAAAATAAAAAAATAAATCAGTCAACGCCCGGCATCATTACAGATTCAGGTAAAAATCATCATTCGATGACCCTAAAGGCGCGTGTGCAGTCGAACCCCCCCACGGCGGAGGGCGGGCCAGCCCACAGCGCGAGCCCCTCACCTGCCACCACGCTGGGTGTATTTGTGCCGAACACATCTTGTCCACGTCTGGTCGGGAGGAAACAGAAACGTGCAGACTGGGGCTCGGCCGGGAAGGCACCCTGCCCGGGCTCTTGAAAAGAATCGAATGGAAAATAGACAGCAGAGAGTGGGGAGACTGTTCTAGATTAAGACGTTAAAAAGACGTAACAACGGAACGTGGCGCGTGAACTTCTACGGGACCCTGGGGTTTTTCAGTTTTTTAACAGCCATGAAAGGCATGTGGGGACAATTAGAGACATTTGAAAACAGGCTGTACATCAGGTGAATCAATGTCTGATTTCTGGAGTGTGCTAACAGACACGCGTGCGGGAGGACGTGGGTGTCTCCGTGGATGTCCAAGTGCTCGGCCCGAGCATCGCGGTCTCTGTGCCGTCCTACCCACGGCTCGGCAAGCAGGAACGTGGCACAGTGCTCGCAATCCACGAAAGGAGTACACCTGTCCGCCGACCTCGTCTTCCCACTTTTCCGTGAATTTCTGAACCAGAACCTTGGGAACTTAATGGCTCTTTGCCTCAGGACACTGATGAGAGCAGGGGGGCCACGACAGAGGCCGGGAAGACGGGGGACCTGGAGGTGCGGGTGAGGCCTCGGGCGGCAGGAAGAGGGTCCAACATTGCCCCCGCGTCCCGTGCCAGCACTGGACCCAGTGGAGGGATGGCCGTGGCCGGTCTGGACGCATCTCTCCGCTGCCACCAGCCCTGTCACCTGCCCTGCTGTTCGGGGCCCCCTCGCGGCCCTTTATCACACCTGGTCGGACGGCCCAATCCCACGGAGGCTGCCTGGATGCCCCGGAGAGCCCAGAATTCTCGGCTCCCTCCTTCCTCGGTGTTTTGCCTTGCCTGATGCTTCCTAGGGAAGAGGCATGCCCAGGCATTTTTAAAAAAAGTTTCTTTATGTAGTGAGAGAGACACAGAGGAAGTGAGCAGGGGAGGGGCAGAGAGAGAGGGAGACAGAGGGTCCCCAGCACAGTGCAGAACCCGACACGGGGCTTGACTCGGGAACCGCGAAAACCAAGAGTCGGACGCTTAGCCGACCGAGCCACCCCGGTGCCCCTGCCCAGGCATCTTTAATGTGCTCTTCAAAGGACAACAGAGGCTGTTGGATGTCAAAGCAGGACGAAGAACCAAGAGATAAGACATCAAAGGCGCTAGAAGCAAGGGAAATGGGATGGACAGTCACACCGGAACATTTGCCATCAGCAGCAGCCTGAGAGCAGGCTAAGAGAAGGGAGACAAGCGTCAGCCGTCACCAGTTCAAGAATCCCAGTCTGGAGCTGCGTCGGCTGGGTGGGGAGATGTCCCACCCACAACCGACCGACTTAACCAGCATTTTCAGCTGGCCACCCAATCGCCTGGAGTCCGACAGACCCGGCGTTGCAGCAAATAGTGCCCCCCGCTCGCCTCCTCTGGTTACAGAGTCCTGAGCACCGTGGCCTGGGACGCGGAGAACTTCTCATCCTCTCGACCATTTGCGAAATTCATTGGCTTTCACAAACTGTTCCCCAAACACCTGGCCTGTACGTGCTCTGCTAACCAGCATGTGCTGTATCATATTCAGAAAGTGCTTATAAGCTCTCACTTGCCTTGAGAAACAACCCATCAGCTGTCAGAAAGGCTGGAGCCCAGGCTGGCTCTGGTGAAACGTTCACGTCAGGGAGACACAAGCCAGTTTGGTCCGACTTACTAAGTTTTAACAAAAGCCAGGTGAAGGAATCTAGCTGGAAAAGCGAGAGGATCTTAGAGGCACGCTGAGAAGTAGTTCTCTCTGGGGAGGGAAAGGAAAAAAGACATGAAGCCATTTTTGTGCCTGAAATTGGATTTCGCAGACGGAACTTCTAAGTAACCCTGACCTAAAACGATGGCTTCCTAATGTCTTGACGTGGTGCAGCCTTCCTGCACTTTCTGCCCATCCCGGGAACCGTCAGGCTCTGTCCTAGAGGTAATGAGGTTTGAAACCCCTTGAGGTATCCGAGATCTCCGTGAAGACCACAGACGAGATCATCACAGACAGACCCTGCTTTACACGGTACCCGCTCTGTATCGTTCTGAACGTTGAAGAGAAATCGTTCCTTGTCCCGGCAGGATCTGCTCGGTTTTATGAGCGAAGGTGTGCGGCCACATCTGCAATTCCGGAGAGTTCCGTTTAACATGCGCGAATACTCAGTCACATATAGAAATGATTTTTATAGGGCTCTCGTGTTCCCACATCGGCTTTAGGTTTGAAACCCTAAGCTGCAGTATGAAGAAAGAAAATACGATAAAAAACGGGCCCTGCGTCTTTGCTAACAAGAGGGCTCCCCGCCCCTCTCCTGGTTCCCTCTGTGGGGAAATCCAAAACGTGGAACAAGAATTTGTCCCGAAGAAGCGAATCTGCTGAACCTACTGCTCAGCCCCCCCCAAAAAACCCCACCACGTTCCCCCTCACGCCCCAAAGAGCTCTTCCCCTGCCCTCCCGACACACGGGGGACACGCGTGTGCGTCTAGGCGGTCACAGGAGCCCAAACTGCACCACAGCTGAAGAACATACTAGCTGCCTGAAGGGAAATTCTGCAAGCGCGTGACTGAAGTCCAACCGAATTAGAAAATGGTTCTTGGGGCGCCTGGGAGGCTCAGTCGGTTGGGCGTCCGACTTGAGCTCAGGTCATGATCTCGCAGTTCCTGAGTTTGAGCCCCGCGTCGGGCTCTGTGCTGACAGCTCAGGGTCTGGAACCTGCTTTGGATTCTGTGTCCCCCTCTCTCTCTG